GTGTGTACCTATCACTTTCAAATTTCTGAAAGCCGCATCTCTCTTTGCTAAATTAAAGGTCACCAGAATATGAACCCGGAGCGGTAACTATCAGATTTTCACCCAGAACAGTGGAGATCTGATTTTATTCAGATTGATATCGAATACTATAAATATTTCCAAAGTCATTTTTAAGGGGTGTAGTTTTACGTACCATATTTTACATGTACGAGTTTTCTAAAGGGTGTCAGCCACGTTTAAGCTTCGGATGCTAATATACAATATAGAATATGTGAAACCTAGTAGCGAATTTGGGTTGCAGGACGTGTGTGTATATGTGTGTGTGTGTGTGAATGACGTCACGTGAGACCATGCAGGTTTGACTCATTTTGTTTTTGCTGATAATGCAAGTGTAACACATTTTTTAAAAGAAAAACAAATCTGAAAGAATTTTAATGGTTAAAAAGTTATATATCCAAGAAAATTATCCTTGACAAACTTTGCAAAAACTTGCTCATCTTTCTTCGTTATTTTCATTCAGGATGCATGCATATGCAAACTGATGCTGTTTTGAAACTGATAAGACAGATTAATTTTGCATGCAATGCATTTACACATACGCATTGTCTAAAAAGCTCGCGACGCAAGCGTGGTCTTCAACCACGCTCGAGCCTCACTCGTAATAATTTTAAACGTTAACGATACACAATCGACTTAAGAGATGTTTAAATATTTCCCACTGTTAATAAAGTATATTTTTTTATTTTATCTCACAGAATAAAACGCCAAAGAAACTCTGTATTCATGATTACTCCAGAGACACCAACACCCAGTGCAACGGGGTCGGCAACTACTGTGGAGGAGAACTTTGCAACTGGATCCGAGACCCGGTCTTCTTTGTCTGAGATTGGTGGAATTAAGGAGTAGAACCTCTCTGATTGCTGTAACATCGAATATTAAAAGAAATATTTATGATCTGACAGACGTTAGCTCTGGCATGTGAAACAACAAGAACGGCAAGATTGAAAGGAATCAGAATATATTTTTGGCAGTCCAAATTATTTCAGCACATAGTTTATGTGCGCTTACATTGTTATGCATATAATATCCGTGAACAAATCTTACAAAAGGGATTGCAAGCATACGGCGCATGCATAATAAAGGACAATGTCGAAAATATCATTATGTTATTGCCATTATTGTAAAGCCATGTTTTATCCATCAACGTCATTCCATCCATCGATTTCATTTAGGACATTTCAGAAGATTTGCTTGAGCTATGAATTTTCACTCAGTCAACAATGTCCACCATTTTTTTAAAAATCAAGTAATTGCTAGTTTTGACACATATTTATTTGTCACATTGTTTAATACTGTATCCTTCATATCGTTTGTTGTTTAGACTTTATTAGCAGAAAAGCGAGTGAAAAGCTATTAGTATTTTTGTCTGTGGCAAAGATATTGACTTTAGTGTATTTGTGTACATCATGCATTTCATTACTACAATATTCTAACATTTACTGGTGTATATTGTCATTATTAAATAACGTAAACCACTTGACTGACATTAAACTTGTACTTGACAATATTATGAAAGTTGCATTATTGTAGAAAATGTAGACAGAACAAATTAAATGCCAGCGTAAAACTATATATATATATATATATATATATATATATATATATATATATATATATATATATATATATATATATATATATATATATATATGCAATAAACTGACGACGAACAGTACGAAACTAGTAACTAACTAGCCTAAGCGCTTTCGACTCTTAATGAGTCTTTTTCAAAGGCAAATACAAAACATAGTTACGACAAATAAATAAACACAAAAACGTTGCGTTTGTAAACCTCTACATTTCTATCTTCACATGTGCTAAAACTATAAATACAACCAGCTTGTATAGACTAGTTGCGGAAACTGAAAACGTTGTATAATTCCCTAAAAGTCTACAAGCCAAAGCGACATCTATTTTTACTTTGTGTACATATGTAACGCAGATTATATCCCGGATATTTGATTCTATACCGGTTATTCTTATAGTAAAAATTGAAGGATAAGAAGATTTAGAAAATGTTAAATTCTACTAGTGCATAGTTTTCATTTTCTAGTCTTCTTGGTTTAGACCGCTTGGTTTCAATGTTCTAAGGCGGCGTACCCAGTATGATTCCTTTTCCTTCCTGGTTTCGGAACTCCAGCTGTGGTTGTTAGCAATAGCGATAAGTATTATATCACTGAAAGTGTGGCCAAGGGAGGAGAAGAGTTCTGCGACCGGGCTTCTGTACAGCTTTTTTGTCATCCAATCAGATCTATGAAGGTTTATCCTTATGTGTAGCTTTTCAGTTTCTCCCACGTACTGGAGGCCACAGATCTTACATATGATGAGATAAATCACATTCTCTGTTTTGCACGTTTTGTTTGGACCATGTATGTTTAGTTTTTCTTTAGTCACTGTGCTAGTGAATGTCTTGGTCTCTATCATATGTTGACAGGTTTTGCATCTTTTATCGCCACAGGGTCCAGATTGACTAGGTTGCTTTTGACTAGCGGTTGTTGTTAGCTTGGCCATGACTAGGATGTCCTTTAGGTTTCTTGGTCTCCGGTAATCTACTAGAGGTTTGTTCGGAAGTATTAGGTTTAGTATGTCTGACGATTGCACGGTTGGCCAGTGGTTTGCGATGATTTTACCTACTTTGGGATTGTCTGGGTGATAGGTCAGAATAAATGGTAACCGACAAACACCAGTATCTTCTCCCAACCAGCTGTCATCCAAAACACTGCATTAAGAACATTCCATATAGCCAGGCACTGAGGATACGCAGAATTTGCTCCGACGATGAAAGATTCCTAGAAAGGTCTAAAGAGCTGGCTAAACATTTAATTTACCGAGGCTACGACAAAGACCTGATTGCGGAGGCAATCCAAAGGGCCAAACAAACAAACCGTGATGACCTACTCAGATATGGACAGAAAGTAAAGGTTGATAGGATACCATTTATTCTGACCTATCACCCAGACAATCCCAAAGTAGGTAAAATCATCGCAAACCACTGGCCAACCGTGCAATCGTCAGACATACTAAACCTAATACTTCCGAACAAACCTCTAGTAGATTACCGGAGACCAAGAAACCTAAAGGACATCCTAGTCAGGGCCAAGCTAACAACAATCGCTAGTCAAAAGCAACCTAGTCAATCTGGACCCTGTGGCGATAAAAGATGCAAAACCTGTCAACATATGATAGAGACCAAGACATTCACTAGCACAGTGACTAAAGAAAAACTAAACATACATGGTCCAAACAAAACGAGCAAAACAGAGAATGTGATTTATCTCATCATATGTAAGATCTGTGGCCTTCAGTACGTGGAAGAAACTGAAAAGCTACACATAAGGATAAACCTTCATAGATCTGATTGGATGACAAAAAAGCTGTACAGAAGCCCGGTCGCAGAACACTTCTCCTCCCCTGGCCACACTTTCAGTGATATAATACTTATCGCTATTGCCAACAACCACAGCTGGAGTTCCGAAACCAGGAAGGAAAAGGAATCATACTGGATACGCCGCCTTAGAACATTGAAACCAAGCGGTCTAAACCAAGAAGACTAGAAAATGAAAACTATGCACTAGTAGAATTTAACATTTTCTAAATCTTCTTATCCTTCAATTTTTACTATAAGAATAACCGGTATAGAATCAAATATCCGGGATATAATCTGCGTTACATATGTACACAAAGTAAAAATAGATGTCGCTTTGGCTTGTAGACTTTTAGGGAATTATACAACGTTTTCAGTTTCCGCAACTAGTCTATACAAGCTGGTTGTATTTATAGTTTTAGCACATGTGAAGATAGAAATGTAGAGGTTTACAAACGCAACGTTTTTGTGTTTATTTGTTTGTCGTAACTATGTTTTGTATTTGCCTTTGAAAAAGACTCATTAAGAGTTGAAAGCGCTTAGGCTAGTTAGTTACTAGTTTCGTACTGTTCGTCGTCAGTTTATTGCATCTATTTTAATTAATCCCTGACAAACGTGATCCCTTGGTGGATCCAGTACGCTTGAGAGGGTTGTTATTCGCCATATGATTTGTATTCTTTATATATATATATATATATATATATATATATATATATATATATATATATATATATATATATATATATATATATATAATGTTCTATGTTTAATTTGGGTAAATTTGATTGCCATGAAGGAAATCACTCTTGAACCTTCAGAAGTCACACTGGGACTTTCCTGCATTTCATTTTTTAAATACATCCCAAATACCGTCACTGGAATATTTATAGACTAATTTAAAAAATTCCTGGTATACATTGCAAATATTTCATTATATTTCAGATATTCAATGCAAAGTGAACACACAGTTCTTATACACAGTATGTTAGGCAAAAATGCTGCGTAGGATTTGCTACATGTACGAGAGGGGAAATGCTGAATAGCATATCTCGCGTTAGCATAGGTTAAATTGATGCACAACAACCGCTATTTTATGATACTCAAAATGTTGAATGGCATATCCATCATTTGAAGTTGTGTCCTCTCGCTGCATAGCCAAGATATTTGAATTAACCACGATGTTAACTTTACCGTACACATACAAACAATTTATGGTAACAAGTCATTGCCAAACAAATTATTTTTTTATAACTTATAGAACATTCTAGGCCTGCTGTATGTAAATTTTGGAGCTTTCGCGCTATACCTGAAATTTCCGTAACGTGAAAGAGCTGTGTGTGAGTGTGTGTGATTTCGATTTTTAATGTTGCTTTAACAATTTTTAGTTATTTCGCTATGTTGTCTGCAGTGTGGCAGTTTATAGTGATGTCTAGCACTGGGGCATCATGCCGCAACATGTGGCATGATGTCCCAACCAGTCACATTATTCTGACACAAGACCCACCAGTCCTAACACTAACCTCTTAATGCTGAGCGACAAGCAAGAAAGCTGTTATCACCATTTTTGTTAAGTCTTTGCTCTGACTCGGATTTGGTTTGAACTCACGACCTCCCGCATCGGAGGTGGACGCTCTAACCACTAAGCCACCGGAGCGGTAAGAAAGTCCAGAATGAATAACTACCACTATTATTTAAATATTTATCTAAGAATTTGATAAAGTGTAATGATGAAATAGGTTTCGCTACTTTGTTGTTTGAAACTTGAAAGACACGTTTTACTTGAGCCAGCCATGAACTTGAATTATTCAAAATATGATGTTGCAATTTCCGAATAAAAGTTTACGTTAGCACATTTGTAATTAATCTAGTAAGATAAAAGTGAAATACTTTCTCCTTCATTTAGACGTTCTTACTATTAGATAGATATAATTTCGTATTAAATTTATGAAGTGGATACAATTCAAAAGTGTGTTGTTCTGTACTTTATTCAGATTTTTTATGGCTCAAATCCTTGTCTCAAATCCCTCTCTCAAATAACTGCGTGTTCCTTGAAGTTACGAATTCTTTGTAGAGTGCACCACTTTCACTTAAATACCGCCGTTTCTGAATTACTCAGTGACGTTCCATATAATATATTAAAAGGACATTACAAACTGATGGTTTGTACTTTTGAGTAACCGCTGTTTTTCGACAACGGAGAATAAACTTGAACCAATTCAATGATCTGCTTACGCTGTTGCACATAATATGGTTTAGAGCTAGTAGATAAAAATTTTACACGTGTTTCATTTTTCGCCGCGATTGTTTCCAACAACCTGATTTTGTATTTTTTATTATCTAGCAACCCATTTTAATTATTTATCTTATTTATAAATAGGAGATATGTTGAATCGAACCGGTTTTATACGACGCATTATAATTTATTCTGGAGAACATAAATTGCTAATTAGAAACATTTTAATTGGTTCATGGTATGTTATTAGAATACCACATCGGTCATTTCAAATACTACGGACACGTAAACAAGAAGAAAATAATTTTGAATTTAAGTGTCCTGCCGTGTAAGATTTTTGAAACAACATTAAGAGTTTCTAAACATTGGCATTAAACTTCGTCATTCTCTCTGAATTAATATAAAATGTCAGAGGTTTTTCTCGATGGCTATCAAAATCTGATAATCACTGATAATCATCAGAATTATGAATTGATGTTAATGAGACTCGGCATAGACCTGTTGTATTGATAACTGCAAATTTTATCGTTTAAAATTATTTATGGATGTGAAATGAATATTTGTAGCTGTAATTTATCTAATATATAACCTGTAAATGATGAAGCTTGTCATATGTAAATATGTTAATTTCTTTAAAGAACTATTGTTGCACTGTTTTGTCTAGGCTATAAAGGTGCGTTTAACATTTAATACAATTAGGTGCTGAATAAGTCTTGTGGATGTGATACATATATTGCAGTTGCGATCAGAGACCATCAATTTACTTGGTGTTCATTTGGCACGTAAATATTACGTTTATGTACAGGTGTACAAACACACACATACACACACATATATACATATGTATGTATGTATGTATGTATGTATGTATGTATGTATGTATGTATGTATGTATGTATGTATGTATGTATGTATGTATGTATGTATGTATGTATGTATGTATGTGTTTATATATATATATACATATATATATATATATATATATATATATATATATATATATATATATATATATATATATATATATATATATATATATATATAGATATATATATATCTGTGTGTCTGTGTGTGTGTCTGTGTGTGTGTGTATAAGGAGTGAGTTTTCTAAAGTGTTTGGAAGCATGAACCGGTTTTAAAAATGTTTGTTTTTTTTATTAAATAAAATGATGAACATCACTTCTTTGGTTGATGAGAGAGAGAGAGAGAGAGAGAGAGAGAGAGAGAGAGAGAGAGAGAGAGAGAGAGAGAGAGAGAATTTGGTTGTGTTTACTAATAATTTCTGAACTTTGTTGATGACCTTAAGTGCACGTGCTTAATCAACTAGTAATATATATATATATATATATATATATATATATATATATATATATATATATATATATATATATATATATATATATATATATATATATATATATATATACACCAGACTAGCTTAAAACGTGCCGTGTCCTATCTTCTCTCCCTGAGTGATTCGAGTTTGTTCCTGTAGACTCTTGGCCACAATTTTCCCAACTTTTGTAACTATCAAGACTATCTATTCACTGGATTAGTCAAATTACGTGCGACTCAATAATAAACCAATAAGATTCATGGATTGTGCACAGTTAAAGTATATGTATGAATCAAATTTTAAGCAAGAATCGATAACCAGATGTTATATAAACCCTTTCGTACAACTCAAAATATTAAATCATATTCACGTAAAACTGATTGTTTATAATAGCGTTATAGTTCTAAACTCAGTACAAAAAAGCTTTCAGAATTGTGAATATCAAAAATAGTCAAAATCCGTTCGATTATAAATCCAAATGTTTGATGATCCAATTGAATTCTAGCGGTATTCCAAATAAATTCTGACAGTGAGAGTTTTTATTATAAAGAACTGACAACATAGCAACGGTGTTAGGAACATGTTTGAAAAGCTGAGCTCCGTCACCTTGAGGTGAACTCAAAGGTCTCCTTCGTACATTTGTGTACTTCATCAAGCTTATCAAGACATTAACAGCATAGGTAAATACAGACACTGGCCATACATTTTCTTTACTAGCAGAGAGAGAGAGAGAGAGAGAGAGAGAGAGAGAGAGAGAGAGAGAGAGAGAGAGAGAGAGAGAGAGAGAGAGAGTGGACTCTTGTTTTGTGAACACTCCCGTATTTATACTGGTCATTCGACTCGAATTGTATTCGTTGTTACGAAACAGTTCCTCCTTCTCTCGCATGTTATCGTAGTGTATGCATTAACGTTGAGCCATAGTAAAGTTTAAAAACTACATTTATTAAATGGTGCTAAACAAACCAATGAATGATTGCTGATCAATGCGTTTATTCCTTGATTTAAATATGCTGCTTGCAGCATTTTTTTTAGAAATAGCTCGTCTCTTAACGTTTCATTTGCTGCATTACTTCCTGGGTTTATAAGCTAGGAAACTTTATGGAACTGACATCAAACAACTTAAGTTTATGTTTAAGTGGGAAAAGTGAAAAGTTAAGATTGAATGTGTGTTATGGTCGTTGAGCCATATGATAACTTTTGCTATCATTGGGAAACGCACTAAATTATAGCAAACGAACCAGTCATGATATGTAATTAATTAGAATTATATTTTATTAAAAATTGCTTAAGGGTTTTGAAGTGATACTTGTTCCACTAGTGGCATGGTTTCATTGGATTGTTTCATAATTTGATCTTGCCCTAACTGTTAAGGTCGAAGACGTTCAGTCTTGGAAAGCGACATGTACTTGAAGTTTAAAAAAGCTAAATCTGTACTTTTGCTTACATTTAAGTTAGCTGCTTGAAATTAATTGATCTCTTCGGAGCCTAACTTTGATACATTGTAGCACTTGAAATCAAGTTCATAACAACGCTTCAACAGAACGGCCAGCATGGCTTGCATGTTTGCGTTTATATGCTACTGATATAAACACCAAAAGAATCAGATGGTTCATGGGTAGTCAGACACATGTCAGTTTGTAATAACAGTGAACTTTAGTCATGCGCTGGGACCGTACTGGTATTTGCGAAACCTAGTAACCAAAAATATTCGAAAAAGCCCTCAACTCTTGGAAATTAACACTATGAAAGAGCGTTTGGGGTCGAATGGTAATGATTTAGTGTTAAAGCCATGATGTGTACAAGGAATTAACCTGAGTACATTAAACTAAATGTTACAAGCACTTTCATTGCCCATTGTATACTTGTACAATTAATGGTGTGTGTGTGTATTGTATATATATATATATATATATATATATATATATATATATATATATATATATATATATATATATATATATATATATATATATATATATATATCATTTTGCAACGTTCTGTGATATTCTTATGAACACAGAATACAGCCCTGTGAAAAAGGAAAAATTGATATAGCATATATATGTCAAAATATAATAGTGTATAGGATAATGTATTACAAGCCTTATTTGAGAAGTGAAGAATTTGATAATTTTCTTCCAGATGTTGTCTCTTTGAAACAGAAAGATATTCAAAGACTAATTATTGATTGTAATGGCTAATCTAGATGAATGAACCATGCTTTTATTTTAATAATATTTGCTGATGTTGTTTCTAAGCACGATACCTACACAGTAAGGTAAGAAAAGTATATCAGTTTCAAAATCAAATATTTTTGATACGATATTAAAATAGGTCCATATTGTATTAGCATATAATTGGAAGTTAAGACTTTTGATGACATAATCCTTTACTTTCAATTGTGTAACTTTCATACCTTGTTAGACTGCAAAGTTGTATCTACCAGTGAATGGTCATAAAATTACTAAACTTTGGTGGAAAGCCTCAAGTTTAAATCTGTCCGGATTTAGACAGTGCAGATAAGAAAAATTCAGAGATGTCAAATATATCCATATAGACGATAGTAAATATTGTACAGTCTTAATATTGTAAAATGAAGGAAGATTCAGTAATAGAAGAAACAATACCATATCACTTGTTATTAAAATATTTTAAAAAATAAAAACTATATAATAACGTATGCATTATAATTATTGTAGTAGCAAAACAATCATTTATAGAATATCACCATTAGACAGAGATGGTAATTAGGTTAATGGGTGATTTATATTTCTTTAGAAATGAAAAAGATTCTTTGAGTTCAAAACAATATACATATACAAGACATATTTCAAGGCTGAAATCATTTGGGATCGAGTGAAAGTTTTGGTTTTAAAGGGTTCTCAGTTTACTAAAGTTGTTAAATTTCGCCCAAAATCAGATGCAATCAGTTACGCCCGTTAATTATACCTTTATGTATATATTGATTATAGTGTACTTTAGATTTGCTGATATAATGACCTTGGTTCTATCCTTTCTAAAACTAACTTTTCCAATACATGCATTTTTGATTTTATGTAAATTTATCTAATCTGATATAATATTA